ACCAGCTTTCTTTCTTTCTTTCTTTCTTTCTTTCTCTCTTTCTTTCTCTCTTTCTGTTTTTGCTTTTCTGCCTCTTTCATTTTTCTAGTGTGACGGGACCGAGGATTATTTTCGTTTTATTAAAGTGATTCTACTTGTTACGGCTCTTAGTCGGTCAATATTCAGTTATGTGCTCTGTTTCTTTCTTTATTTCTATTTTCTTTCCCTCTCTCTCTCTTTCTTCCTCTCCCTCTCCTTCTCTACATTTCTCCCCCCCCCCCTTCTCTCTCTCTCTCTCTCTCTCTCTCTCTCTCTCTCTCTCTCTCTATATATATATATATATATATATATATATATATATATATATATATATATATATATATATATATGTATATATATATATATATATATATATATATATATATATATATATATATATATTTATATATCTTTCTCCCTATCTCTCTCTCTCTCTCTCTCTCTCTCTCTCTCTCTCTCTCTCTCTCTCTCTCTCACTCTCTCTCTCTATCTATCTATCTATCTATCTATCTATTTATCTCTCTTTCTCTCTCTCTCTTGTATACTTCATAAATAGATGCAGATTAAAGAGAAGGGGTTATTTAAATTCCTTTGTGTTTTTTTTTTTTTTTTTTTTTTAGCTTCAGATTTTCTTGTTAATGAAAATCTTTCTAGAAGCTCGATCTGATGGGAATGAACAATTCGGTCTTTGTTATGAACTGAACACTAATTATCAACCGGGATCGTGGGACCTCTATCTGTGTACAGCGGCCTTGAAGGTTTGCAGGCTGGGGAGGTTGTGCAGAGAGGTTGCTGAACCATCGTCTGGAATATTTCGGTTGAAAGGAGCGTCGGTGACGTGGATTTTGTAGCGGACCCAAACCCTGGCTTTGTCGTCTGCTGCTGCCCTGCAGTGAAGGCCAAACCAAGGCTTTATAGTCTTCATGAGATACAAAGACCGATTGGAGAGTGACTAGATGACGTGCCAGAGCTCGGGTTTCGTCATCTACATCTCCATCCAAAATGTTGCTCCATTCTGTTTCCCTCTTTCCTTGGTCCTGGCCGTGGCGGTTGCGGAATTCACAGAACTGTTTCTTCCGACAATCGTCCTGGGAATGACACTTCGTTTTACAGTTATGGTAAAACGAGTTCCTTTTGTAGGAGCGCTTCGGTTGACGCTGTGGTACGTGGTGGTACAACTGTGATGTCAGGCGACGAGTGTGACGTCGCTGCGGCTGTGGTGATGTGTGGCGTGAGCGGTGTTGTGGCTGTGCAGATGCGCCACGTGAGCAACGCTCCTGTAGTTGTACAGACGTGTGGCGGTATTTTGGCTTCGTAGATGTGTTGGAAGATTGCGAGAGTGAGAGTGTATGACAGAATTCTTGAGCTTCCTTTGGTTGATCTTGCACTGTTGTCTCTGGAGTCTGAGGAGGGGGCTGGGAGCGGCAGAACTTGAGTGGCCTTGACCCTAGGTCCACCACGCCCTAGCAGCTAGGTGGGTGTTGGTTTTGCCGCACCACTCCTTGTCGATACGTTCTGCGTTGGCTGTGCAGGCAATCGACTTGACCTCCAGAGAGTCGATGCTGCTTCTCGTGGCTTGAATAGTGTCTATAAGTTGCAGGACGGTGACTATGGCGTCTCTATTGCTCGCCAAACTCCCCAAGAAAGTTGAAGATCAGTAATGAATTCTTCCTGGAGAGCTCCGCTCGCAAGATTTTTATGATGATGATCAGCTGATTACTGAGTAATTCTTCCTCTTCTGTGGGGTTCCATTGAACAGGAGCTTCCTCTGCGGGTGGATGATGCCGGATGAATCCAACCGGTTCTGCAATACCTGAAAGGTCAATCAGTGATGCTGTTTGGTCACAAACAAAGTCGCTGTTTCCATACAGGCAGATAACGTGGCAGTAGTTTTGGCAAGTTCCGTTAGTTCTCTCTCTCTCCTTCTATTCCTCTCTCCCTCTCCCTATCTATCTATTTATCTATCTATCTATCTATCTATCTATCTATTTATCTATCTATCTATCTCTCCCCTCCCTTTCTCTCTCTCTCTCTCTCTCTCTCTCTCTCTCTCTCTCTCTCTCTCTCTCTCTCTCTCTCTCTCTCTCTCTCTCTCTCTCTCTCTCTCTCTCTCTCTCTCACTACCACTGCTTCTTTTAGCTCTGCGTGGAAGGACTGATTGTTGTCGGGAGTAAAGAAAACTCTCGGCGGGTTTTATCACATTAGTGCCTCTGCTGTTCATGGCAAGAGAGAGGGAGAAGAGTGAGTGAGAGAGAGAGAGAGAGAGAGAGAGAGAGAGAGAGAGAGAGAGAGAGAGAGAGAGAGAGGAAAGAGAGAGAGAGATAGAGAGAGAGAGAGAGAGAGAGAGAAATAAAGAGAAAGAGAGAGAGAGAGAGAGAGAGAGAGAGAGAGGAGAGAGAAAGAGAGAGAGAGAGAGAGATAAAGAAAGAGAGAGAGAGAGCAAGAGTGAGTGAGAGAGAGGGAGTGAGACAGAAAGAGTGAG